TGTGTGTGTGTGTATGCATGTGTTTGTGTGTGCGTGTGTGTGTCTTGTCTGTCTTTCTGATTGACTGACATAAAAGGGTATGTGTTCTCTCACTCAGTCTCCCTCTCCCTGTAACCCAGGCCAGCCTCAGCCTCCCGCCTCAGCCCCACCCCCCCACCTCAACCTCACTAGTTGGGAATTATAGGCTTACCCCACCATGTTGCCTCAGTGTTATAGTTAATCTGGGAATAGCTCAAACCCTCACTTTAGCATTTCCATGCCTTTTCTTTTTCTCACAGTTTGGTGTCCGTGGCCAATATCTTCTCTTTAGGATACATTGCTTCTTGTTTTTCTTTATAAACTTGAATATATGATCACAAAAATATTTTTTGTAGGGCCTGATGTGGGGTGGTACATGCCTTTAATCCCAGCACTTGGGAGGCAGAGGCAGTCAAAACTCTGTGATATTGAGGCCAGCCTAGTCTACACGAAGAGTTCCAGGCCAGCTGGGGCCATAAGGAGACCCTGTCTCCAATATAAGTGTATGTGTGTTTGATTGTGAAAAGTAGAAGGAAAGTACGTTTTCTGGTTTTATAATAAACGCTACTGTTAAAATTTGGATTCCATGGAGCTAGGAGTGGACCTCAGCTGTTGAGAACTTGCTTAGCATGTGCTAAGGGCCTAGGCTTACCCCTTCCCCACGCTGTCCTATTTATAGCACTTCTATTTCCTTGCTGGTATTCCAGATGGCAGCTCCTGTAAGACTGTCACATATACCAAGAAACAAAAGTCTGACTCCCATTGCAAATCATTACGTTATAGTCTATTTGTTTTTCCACTTTAATTCGGAAGCTATCCGTCTCCTCCTCCCTCCAACCCCGTTTGCTTCTTGATTTTATCCTAACTCCTTAGAAAGATGCCCATGAGACAATAAAGACCCTTGACTGACAATGACAAAGGCAGAGCCCTGTCTCGGTTCTATTCACCCCTCAGGAGAGCACCTGGGAGCTAGAAACATTTGAATGGGGCAGCAGCCATGCTTTGTAGACAGTTCCATACAGTAAACTGTATTATTGACTGATATTTTCAGTATTTCCTCTTCAAGTTACCAAAAACCTATCTATGGATAAAACCTGCATGTTAAATACAGATGGCTTTATTTTTTAAAAAACCTGAGATTTAGGTCTCCAGAAAAAAAAGTTTAATTATTTAATGTAGAGTAGTTTCTTAGGAAGTTGGTCATCTTGTTTACTCCCTGATATGAAAGCGAATTAACAACTGAACTTGACCGGTTGTTGAGTGGCTTGAAGGTGACAGCTGTACTCTGGGACCCTTAGAATGAGATACAGTATTTAGAATCATAATTTGCAGAAAGTCTCCTTTCTTTGAAGGTCTGGATGCACAAATGAGCAAACGCCTGACTTTTGTTGTTCTTCTTCCTTAGGGCCAAAGCATGTTGTTGTTAAGTTTGTGGTGAAATTCTTCCCACCTGACCACACTCAGCTCCAAGAAGAACTCACCAGGTTAGTAGCTGAGCATTTTTTTGCTATACTGTGCAGTTTATAAAAATGTTAAAATTAGCATTCCTTGGGTATACATTCTGTGTGCATAGATGCATGATTTACAAAAGCGATGACTGACTGGAAGAAGATAATGTCGGTATAAATGAATGCTAATGTTCTAGGTCAGCTAAACATTTCTGTAATATTTATTTGACCATATCTGTTCCATGCTCAGTGGTATATCCCTCCTCTTTCCCAACTGTACCTACAAAAGTGAAGAAGAAATGTTTCCTCCAGTCTGATTGCTTGAAGACTGTGATTGCGGAGTGAGATGGCCTTATAACCTGTCAGTGTCAGATTTTTCCATCTTCTGTCAGTCACATCCTGAGACTGTTCTGGGGAGTGAGTCTCTTCTGCGAAATGAAGTTGTTAATTCAGAATTGATCTTCTTTGCTTCTGTGAACTGTAGGTTATTTTCTTTGTAAGTCTGGCCAAGTGGGAGAAGTGTTGGGTCAAGTTTAACCTCACCACTTGCTGGCTGTAGCTGTGCAATTATGTATTTATTCTGCCACTGTTAATTCACCTCTAATAATGCAGAATATGATACTTGTTTGGGCAGAGATGTTTTCAGGATATTACATTATTATATAGAGAGTGACTGGAATCCAAGAGGGACATTAAAGTCACTGTCATCACCATTGTCATCATCACCATCATCTCCATCAACACCATACCTATTCTGCTCATTTTAGTGTGAGGCAAGATTACAGTAGAGAGAAGAGCCGACAGCAACATATGTCGATAAATCTTCCCTCCCATCATGCCCTCATGTAGTATGCTGATCTAACCAGCCATGTTCCTGTCACTTGTGTCTCTCAAGCTATGACCTCTTAAAACTAAGGCACTCAGCTTCCTCATCCCTCTCAGTACAGAGCACAGGAACTGGGGTGGTTGAACCCCATTTTTTAAAGGGGTGGAGACATCAATTTAGTCACCACTATTTGTTGAGTCCACTCTATGTACAGAGTCTTACTCTAGGCTCTGGGAATGTAGTGATGGAAAGGATAAATCTTGACTCTCCTGCATACAGAAAATACTGAAGTAAATGAGCAAAGTATCAAATCCTGGTAAGTGTACTTGAAGTCATTGAAGTGGAATGATGTGATCGGAAGTGACTGGGTGATAACATTAGGTTGCTTGGTCTCTCAAGGAAGCGATGAGAACCTGTCTGTCCTTGTCCGAGGAGGAACTTTACAGAAAGATGAAGCAGCACAGTGCTAATGGCAGAAAGAACACTGCCATACATTAAACATTCATAAAAGGCCAGGGAGATCCGAATGCTGAGGGCGAGGTGCGACAAGGAGAGACAAAGGCCCAGCAGCAGGTAGTGTTGAAGCAACTGCCTTGAAGATGCTGCTGTGTTGATAGAAAACCACGGGGAACCAGTGAGCAGGTGGTTACCATGGCCCATCCACAGTAGAGGCTTTGAACAAAGAAGATGGTAGCAATGGCGGTGGAGAAAAAATGGTGGTATTTGGAATATGTGGGGGCAGCAGGACCCCCTGTCATGGCAATGGACTGGAGGTGAAGTCTGAGAAAGGCAGCAGAGACACTTACATTTTTGAGCAACTAAGTGGTGGTGTAAGTGATTGCTGAAACAGGAAAGCAAGGGTTAAAGGGAAGTTGGGAGAGGCAGAGTCATGGACTTGTTCTGGTCACATGATATCTTCTGTATGGATGACCCTTCACATGTGTGGGATTCCACAGAGAGGTGGAAACAAAGGCTCTTCTCGCCACCTCTAATTTTATGAGTGTGTTGCCTCTGTCTACCCCCACTCACGTGAACAAATGAAGGAATTGAAGGTGCCAGGAGTGGGCAGAAGCTGCTATAAATGGAAGCAGTTCCAACTGAGCTCACAGGAGCCAGGGCTAACTCTTACTCAGCAGGCACTAGGTACAAATGTGTCACTAAGTCTCTGAAAGAGGAGCAGCCAGTGTGCCCGGCTTACAGCTACAGCTTGTGTGGTTAAGAAAGGCGTCAGTCCCAGGAAGCTCTTTCTCATGTTACCCTGATCTGGGAACATGGAGAGTCGGCATAGCCAGAGAGTGACAGATCCTTCCAGGCTTCAGAGAGTCATATGCCCCCCCATGTAGATGTACATACTTTCAAGGCTGTCATGCAGCCCTCTCGACATTGTCACCAAATACTCATAAATCTTGTCAGACTTTGACCAGGAATCTGTCTTGGAACACTTCTTTTTAGACACAGGACACTGTGGGTTGAGAAATGATGAAGTTTTCGAAATGTAATCTTTTTAAATCAGAAAATCCTCCTAGTTATTTGAAAGTTAACCATAACATAGAGCAGAATTAAGGCCCCTAGCACTGTGAAGTATCGGGTTCAGTGGGCAGCTACTACTGATCCCGAAAGATCAAGCCGTCATGCTAGCCCTTCCCTCAGGAATCCATGTGTTCATGACTGAGTTGTTTCATATTCCTTACTTTCCTTCCCTTTGATTTTCCACTGAGAGACAGGGAAGCAGGTGTTGGAGGGCAAGAGAGAGAGCAATAAAGGTCACAGTTGTCAACTGGTATCCGCAGTGATGTTTTATTTGGTGGCTATGCAGTTACCACTTTGTGGGATTTTTTGCTGTTGTTGTTTTGGTTTGGGGGTTCTAATTTAGTTTCTGTTTTTGTCTTTTTGAAACAAGGTCTCCCTGTAGCCCCAGCTGACCTGGAACTCCCTCAGTAGACCAGGCTGGCCTTGATAACGCTTTATTTTTTAGTTCTTAATAATGGAATGCCTTAAATTATTTAAAGAGGATTAGTTATTT